CTAAATGCTGCACAGGAAGAGCAACACAAAAAATGCACACAGTACAGCCAGTCCACTTTCTACCTTTTCATCTCCTTAACATGATCACGGAACACACACTCATTTCAAGCTCTTATAAATCAATTTTCTTATTAACTCAAAGAGAAAGGCAGCTTTCCATATCAAAATAAAATTGGCACAAACCTTTACAAAGACTATATACAAGCATTTAAAATGAATTCTGAAAAAGACGTTTTACATAAATAGTAAACTACCTGCCACAGCTAAATCAGGTGTTTCCAAAAAAAGGCATGCTCATTTTTAGCAAACACAGACCAGCAGATTGTCTTAATCACCCCGTTACGACCCCAAGTGTCTAGGGGAAAAGGGGTGTAACATTTAGGATAATTCTTTTGGAAACAGAGGGGTTTTGGTGAGGGACTAGGAAGCGTGATAAGGGTAAGGAACTAGAGTGGTGCCAAAGAAAAGAAAATAACAAACAAAATGGAGCTGGCTAGGACAGTGAGGGAAAGCTAATCTGACTACAAAAGAAAACCCGAAACACACGGTCTTCGGCGTCTTCAACACCCTAGCTAACCTGCACTGACTACCCAAAACCATACAAGACAAATGGCACTCACCCGTACTAAACTAGCGTACTAATACAAAATCAACTAAGTGTGTAAGTGTACCCAACAACCTAAACTAACCTTATATACAAAAGTTCACACAAAAACACAAGTGAACCAGGAAGACAAATAAGGGAATAAATAAGAGTAATAAATAGGAGCAGGGTACAAAAAGAACACAAAAGTTGAACATGTAACACTGGGGCAAGGTAATGACAAAACAAGGATGAACACACAAGCAAACGAAAGTACAAAGAAATTAACGTAAATCCAACAAAACAACAAAGCCGAAGCTATACGAAATTACACACACACAAAGCAAAACAAACCAACAAACGAAGCCGAAGCAATAGCCAGGAGCGAAGCGAAGCGATAACCAAAACCTTTTCAAATGAAAGGCCTCTTCTTTCTGAAAGCCTCCATGTTATATGCTGAATAAGATGTGTTCTGATTGGCTGAGGCTAATTAATGATGACATCATACTGAAACAGTGGAGTGATGGTGGGCCAATGGGGAAGGGAGAATAATCAAGGGTCAGCAGTGTGGAACATAACAGAAAAACACAAACAGAACACACACTGGGACGTAACACACCCCATCATAAAAACTGCTTTAAATTTGTTAACCCCAATAATCCTCATTTGGAACAACAAAACCAGAAATTATATTTTAAAGTTTGAAAATTCTGAGTAACTTAGTACTGCCTGCTGGAATTTTGCAATAAATGCATCTCAATTTAAAAAAAAAAACACCATAATCTCAGTCTTGCTAGTTTGTCTCCTTAAGTGGCCTGTTTTGGTCTATGGACCCTAGTTCTCTTTCAAGTTTCCTCTCTCAGGGAAGAAAACTGCACAGTCCTCTTGCTTCCTCGTTGCTCTTCACTTGGCTCTACTCATAAAACTCATTAAACCTCTGACTCTTCGCTGTCCATCTTCATTAGACACTAAATACTGCAAATGCTTGTCACACTGTAAGCACGCTGCACTTACCAGACTGAACACAGCAGTCTAGTGAGTGAATCCAGGAGCAAGAGGAGACAAGCAGGTAACAGGGGGAGAAGACAGGCAGAGTTTCAGTGAAGCACTGTCTGCAGTCATAACGGTATCAAACCAAGTTCAAGCCGAGAAGATGTGCTGCTGAGGCAACAAAGAGAAACACAGGGTGCGAAACACAGGAGATCTTACAGGAGTAATCCGAGAACAAAGTCAGAGAAACAAGTCAACTGAAACCAGGAGATCTGAACAAGCATGTAAAGGAAGCCATGACTCATGACAAGCACTTAGACTACATGGAGAGGCTGATCTTAGGTACTGTAATGGCAACAGGTTAGTACAATATTGAACTACATGCAGGTGGTAGTGACTTTTGACCCCATCTTGTTGTTACGACAACTGATGATCTGACTGATTGAGAAGGGGCTTGATCAGGTGTGCTAAGTAGCATTTGTATGAGAGTGAGTATGACACACTCTACTGTACATCTACTCATCAAGTCTTCACTCTTTGTCTTCATTATTACTAGGAACTAGAGCATTCATTTAACTGTCATCCAGTTCTTAATCTTCCCTAGTCACTATTCACTTTGACAAAATAAGGCTCTAGAGTACATAATTAAACTTGACTTTTAAATTAATCAAATAAAGGACAATATCTAATACAATTAATAAGCAACGCTAAATAGAAAAAGATCCATTCTTTATCACAAATTATTAATATGCAAATACTATATACAGTGTTTGACATGAACAGGCACCTAGTATGATACATCTCATTCAACAATTTAACTATAAAAGACTGTTACAATAAATTCTAAAGTCCACCATATCACCATATCGAAAGAATCACCCTGTGCCTTTTGTTTAACAATTAAATGTGTGACACTCAAGACTTGGAAAGTCCAATCAGGCACTTCATTTTGAGAGTCAATGTTCTGTGTGGCCTGCTCCAACTGCTGGAGGTTTGTAGATGACATTTGCAATGTCAATCTATGTGCTACAGGTATTATTAACCACATAATAATATGCAACAAAATGTTCAGACATGTCTACTCTCTCATATAATCGCTCTAGCGATGTGTAAATTATATAACACCTTCGACATCCCAGTCAGTAGTAGTGTGTTCTAAACATTCAATTTATATGCATTGCAAATTGTTTGAATCGTTAATTAAGCGTTTAGAAATTGCTAGGTCAATCAATATTCATTCCTACAAACATTAATGTAAACCTCACAACTTCTCTAGACATATGAAAAAAGATACCTCTGTGAGCTTTTAAACACATTTGGACAAACATTAATCAGAGATGATAAGATTATTTTTTTCCATTTGGGATCTACAAAATGCAAAGTCATCAACCCTTACTGCTTTTTGCCACCCCCAAAAAAGCTTTCTTTTGGTAAACTACTGAGAAACTGAATATTTGCATAAACAGCCTACACTTGTCCATCATACTGTAACTATGTCAGGTGCACCTGGACTTAAGCAGCAGCCTGTCTTGTTAAAACATGCCTTTACATGTTATCACACTAAGCACAGGATTGTTATCTGAGTTGTTACTGATTGTTACCCCAGTCTCACGAGGACTAATAGTCTTGTTTCTCACCAATAACTTGTCTGGGTTTGTCCTATCCCAGCTCCTTGCAACTTGGCAACAGATTTTCAATAACCTTCTGTGTTCCTCACAAAGGCTTTGTGATCTTCACCACAAACACTGTACTTCACAATGGTCTTCTGCCATATGTCCAAACTCTGCACAGTACATGTCCACGAAGATACGGGCTACAAGTACATGCTGATTTAAGAAAACAAAACTCTACCAAATACATTAATGAAAAATAAACTGTCATTCTAACCCATGCAAAGCAAAACCAGCATGCCCCAAAGTATACATTAAAGTGCAAGTATAAGTCACTTACTGGGTCTTTTATTGGGTACTCAATTAAGTCTGGAGCCCTCAAAGAAATTTTAAGATTATATATAATATTTACTTAATACAATGCATTTATATTTGTTCACTCAATCTACTTATAGTAATTAAAGCCTTTTAGTTTTTTTTTGAGCAGATAAAAACATCACTGCAGCTCATTTAATTTCCGAAGTTTACAAATTAAAGGATTTCAACTGCTGGATTTCAACTACTGAAGGAACTGTAGGAAAAAAAAAAAGAATTTACTAAACACTGTCAGTACTGCAATATTTGCATAGGCCAATTTAAAGATTTTTTAACTCTAAATGACATTCATTTATCCATCCATTATCATTGAGCTACATATCCTGATCAGGGACTCTGCACATGGCTGCCTGTTCTGAGCTCTTTGAGAGCACAACATCCTGCATCTGTGCTGCCAGGAGCCAACTAGAGATCTATGGAAATGCACAGGAAACATGCAAACAACATGCAGAGAGAATGTCACAGAACGTCACCACGACTGAACCCAGGACTGGGAGAAATCGGTTTCGAAAGAGGTCACAATATTTAAGTGACCCAAAAAGAATATCTGACTGTTCGGCCGCCTCTTGTCTGCCAGCAAACCAGTGCATGCAAAGGTTTTCACGTTCGTTCATCCCACACTCCCAATGCACACACCCACCCCCACTTCTGGAGGAGCGTTTGTGAGCGTCATGATTTAATAAACTGCTAAAGGTCATCTGCCAGCCATCACATCACGAAAGCAAATGAAAAACTGCTTTTGCTTAGACGAAAGGGTTTCCATTATATACAAGACCCAGGTTTATTAAATTCAGAAACAGCTCTCTGCAGCCTTCCCCATCTTAACTGTCTAAGGAGAGACAATCAGGGCTCCCCCAGTGACAATAAACTACAGGGTTTTCTCCTCTGATATTGGGGCTGACGAGAGGCACTGCTTTAGTATCTTAGCCTTAGTTTTCATAAATGGTCTTGTATAGCAGATGCTGCTCAAAACTGTTGATAAAGATCATTTCATACTCCATGGTGAAGGGGTTATCACACTGAAAAGCAGGAAGAAAATAAGACGGCTGCACGGTTAGCAACTGTATATATGGGGAGATTATTTTTTTCTCGCAGAAGCTCCGTGTTATTCAGGTCAGTGAAGCCATAAAACAAACGTCTGTTACTCGACAGGAAGACAGCTGTTCTGCCTTTTCTCTGAACTCATTCAGCCTGTTACACAGAGAACCTCGTCAAAGTGAAGAGAACGCAGTTTTTGAGTTTGGAAATACATTCTCTGTCAGCGTGTTTCTGATAACAAAAGAGCGAAAAGCGAATCTGTGCCTTTAGTGGATTGAGAAATCAGGACTACCTCAGTTTAATGTTTCATTTTGCACAACTGAACTCCAACATGGAGTGCAACACGGGCTGAAAAAACTCCAGTCACATTTTAAAAAATGTTTTGTTTTTAAAGATTTACTTACAAGAGCATATCTCCCAATGGCACAGCGATGTATTTTCAATCTTCTGTTGTACACATTCATCACAGGTAGTTTGATTTGAGCAAATACCTGAAAGAAAGCAAACAATAAGACATTTTGTCCACAAAGAACTGTCTTGATTTAGTGTGGGTGAAATCTTTAAGAAAACGTCTAGTACAAAAAGTGTCGAGGTGTTTAGCCAGGACACTGGGGTTCAGTCAGCTATAGAATGATTCAATCTGGTCTTCTACATGTCCCCTTTAAAACCAGTGAAGCACATTCTCACTTCTTCACCTGATCTGCTGAGCAGTGGGACTGCTGCTGCATCACAGCTGCTGTGCTGTGTGCAACAGTGGGTATTTCACTTCAGAGGTGGTTAAAGTGGATTCTTTCCATTACTGTAGGTAAAGCTTTGTGAGACTGTAATTTGTGTAAATGTAACATTTTCACAGTTGCACAAGCGAATTTTTATTTAAGCCAGAGTGTTATGCTCTAAAACCCAGGCTACAACCTTCATGACCGGCACGTCGTGTAAACCTGTGCTCTTCCTAGGCCAACAGGCTCTCTTTATCTGTGGGAAATAAGACCACTCCTGACAAGTGCACCAACCCTTCACAATATACACTGTAGTCAAGGGTGAACACGCTTGTCCTGTCGCAAAGGTTACCTTGCGTGGACTTTGAAAAGGAAGCCTTGACTTCTGAATATATTAGGCTAAATAATAAATGGTTTGTGTTCAGACTTCAAGAGCACCTTTTGCGACTATGACAGGAGAGAACACTTTTTGTTTTTAAAACGGCACAAGGACTACAAACGATGGACTTTAGTTACACTTGATATGCAACTTGAATATCATTACACATCATGATTTCCACACACAAAAACAAGCAGAACGCTTTGCAATCTTTTCTCAACACAAGGCCAACTCAGACAAAGGACTCTTTATTCTAATCATTTGTTCGCAGTCTACAATCTCATTAGACACAATCATGGGAACAGCACACGCATATCAACTGAGGTTTAAGCATTGTTTCCACTGGCTCATCCACCTTAAAGAAACAAAACATTTTCGGGAAGCGTTCAAAATGGGAAAAACGCTCCAAACTAAGACAATCAAACAAATATTGTTTCAGAAAAACATTGAAACAAATGCTGCAGTCACAAAACATCATTTAAGTCACTGAATTTGTGATATTTTTACTATTTTAATCATCTCAGGAATGTCTTTCGCTACTGCTGGAGACTTGAGGAACATCAGCTGTTCCCCAGAAACAGCAGCTCAAAATGCAGGCCTCTGTACCAGACCTTTTTATGGACTGGTAATGTACAATTAAAAGAGCATGTTGATTCTCTTCACCATGAGGCACAATTCTTATGACTTTGATGATTTAATGCCACTGATATAAATAATGTCAAGCCGCTACCACAGAAAACGCTAAGTAATCACGCCAAAACTCATACCTTGCCCTTCAAAGTAAAATTGTCATGTTACCGCTAGTGGTGGAAATTAATAAATCGCTGTTTAGTAACTTTACCACTGAGACACGTTCAACGTGATGGGCAGACATGCGGGAATAGAAACTGTGTCATTTCGAAGATTTGATACGTGCAATTCAAAAGCTAAACTCTGCATTGCCGCTTTTCTTTCAGCGGTAAAAGGGGACATGTTACGACCAGACAGAGGCGACCCGCGGCCGCAGCCAAGCCGCCTCTTCCTGCCAACCCTGCCCTCGCAGTTTCTCGGCTGAGCGAGAGAAATCGGTCACCCTGCGCTACCCTGGTCCTGCTGCCAGCTCGGGCTGCGCGCAGTGCGCTCGTCTGCGTCACTCCGTCTCGCTCCGGCCGAGGAAAGAATTAGCGCTGGCCACGCGCGCAGCGCAAACTCCAGACCAGGCGCGCTGCATTGTCGTCAGGGCACTTAATTTAAAGAGGTTTATAACGCACTACAGGACATTATCATCATCCCGAAGATGTACTGTACCATGAGCTGACACATACCTCTGCTTTACTTGCTAATCGGAGTCTACTTCCCAGATATACACCCCATTTAGAGGACAACACGCAGTAACATTTAATTTTAAATTGGTTATCAAAAAAGCAAACAAACGTTTAAGTTGTCACAGACCAATCATTCTAGTACATCGCCCTTTTTCAAGATACAACTCAACTCTTTTTTAAACCACTGACTATAATAAGACGAAGTTCTTATATATGAAATGAGAATATAAACTTACCGGTCTGTCAGTGTATCTACAGTCTACTTTTCTACCTTCGATACACTTAACCAAGTTACTACTTGCGAAAAATGTAACTCAATACTTTACCTGAAGCTCCTGTAATTCCCAACAGGACAAGAGATAATGCGATGGACAGTAATCTTCTGTGCATTTTTGCGTTATCTTACAGTGACTGGACAGAAAACCTGAATATAATGTTTAAAAAGTGAGACGTTGATTTCTGTTTCTGCTGTATACGGGTTTCTGTGGCTATACTTCCTGCTTGCAGGTCATGTGGCACTTTTTACTGACTCATTGCAGAGGGAGGAGACGAGCATTGAGCCTGCAGTGCCTTTAACCTGTTCCGTACCAGGAGCGTGATGGAGCTGTTGCGTCGTGTGCTGGAGGATTCAACAGAAGCGTGAAATACATAGTGGGTATTTAGTTTGCGATTATTTTAAAAGAGAATACATATTTCTTTATTTCATTATAGAATTGCCGCCCTGTAGCTAGATCTGAGAAGACAAGCGAGGCTAGGCCTGGGCAGTACTGGAATGGGAGAGTTTTAGGAACACCGGGCTCCTGCAGCTTCTGCAGGACGTAGTGTTGATGGTCCAGTAGGTGGCGCTCTTCCCATTGGCTCATAGTTTTCAAACCAATGTTTTAGGATCCTTCGGGAGAAACCACACACATGAGAAATTTACTATTAACTGTTATTTCAGTTTGTTTCGGGCCTTGTGCAATTTTGCCTTTACATAAATATGGTAATGAGCTTTACAGTAACCCCACAAACGAAAAAAAAAAGTAAGTTCTAGTGGTGCTATTTTTTCCTTCTAGAGCTTTATACGTGGTCTAAGCTAAACATTTTTGATATCTGATTCGAGCCAAAAAAATCTCATGTATATTCATTAAAGGCTTTTATGTTTCTCTCTGCTGAGACTCAAATGCATTATTTCTGACTCACTAAAAGCTCACTATGAAGCTCCTCAGCTATTATAGGATCTGTAGGCCTCTCATCCATCGGATATGACAGAAAGGGATCAAATGTCTGAAGAGTGCTCAGGTAATTGATGAAATGTTCGAAGAACTGTGCTGTAAAATCAGGACATGGCGCAACGGTGCTTCCAGATGTTCCCATTGACTTTTTCCATCAGAAAGTGGAACCTATGGTCCCTATGGAATGTGTAGCAAATTCTGCTTCTGTGCACTACATGATTTTCCTGATGCAGTTGTTTGAATAAGACAACTGACTAGATACTGTACATCCCCTTTCCAAAGACAGAGACTACATACAGACACGTGAAAACAAAGTTTTCAAATAAGGTAACACCGGAACAAATTGTTGTAAATTTACCTTTTTTGCCCTTAGTTTCGTTTGGCTCAATTAAATACATCTTTTCCATGATTCAGAAGGTACCGTTCTCCCCTTTGTCAGAAGTGCCGTGTTTAAACAGATCCACCAGAGGAACTCATGTGTGTGATAAACAAAGTCCATTGGTTATGGCCTCACAGCTTGAATCCTTTTGAGAGACTGCACATTTCAGGCTGTAGTAATCATAGCCCAACACTCTTAGAAACAAAGAGGTATGTATGTTTTCACAGCTGTGCTGCAGTTCATATTGAAGTAGACTTTGGAATGCTCTGGGGCTCCCATTAAAGAGATTAGACATTCTCAAGCATGGAGAAAGCACATCTTGAGTTTCAAATGAAGCTTGATCCACACAAATGACCAACAAAGAGGAACTATAAAATACAAAATATTTGGAATTTGTTCCAAAAGCAGATTAATTAACAAAAGTCAGAAAGTAGAGCAGCATGCCTGACACGGATATGCTCTGAGAGACTCACTTTCTTATTTTCTTAAAAGATGCAAGTGAATCCACATTCAAAACAAAGATCCCCACAGTTTACACACACATACATCTACATATACTGGTAAATGTATTTATATAACCAGTTTGTATGTACTGTACACAGCTGCATTATTCTAACTTCACAATGTGTTCAAAAACATTCTCTGGTGTTCTATTGCTTCTGTTTTTTCCTGTTTCCTTTCAATAGTTTAGTTTAAAAAGACTCATTTGCGACTTATCTGTGATCTACGAATATATAAGTCATTGGCATTAAGGGTGGCACTTTGCTCTGTCTGCAAAAAAAGAATACATCTGTGATAATCTGTTTATTTGATCCCATTATGTGAATTGTTATATAAACACCATTCAGAGCCATCCTTCTAAACTGCAAGACTGTTTAATGGTTTCTAACTATATTTTCTAGAAGCACTCCTACAGAAATTAAAAGGAAACAAGGCACTCAGCCCCCATCTTTTCTAGAATCCCTCTCAATCCAATGTCTTTTCAACGGTGCAAAACTGTGGTGTTGTTGATATCTGACACTTTGCCTGTTGTTCTAGATGACAAGGAAGTGAACTCATTCTGCCCTTCAAGAGCCAATTGCTCAGACGTACTGAGAAAACAACTCTGGACTTGTACTTGAGCCACCTCTAAATCTCCTGGTAGCAGTATGGAAAGTATGGTGTGCAATGTGTGGAGGTAAGCTGCTGGACATGAAAGCATGCTCTGGCAAGAAAGAAGTGCTGCAGAAAACCCCTTGCTTTTTTACAGAACAAGTGTTAATAATATACTTTTTATTGCTTTGCTGCTGGGCTTTGAGTTAGCTGTAGCTTTTGGACTGGGTTTAGTTTCTAATGACCTAGTTTCATCTACACTCAGAGAATTGGTGTTGTCAGATATGCTCTCCTTTTCAGAAAATAAATACTCTCAACCCTGCTCTTGAAAGCAATCGAATAGCTTAATTATTTGCCAAGGAAACCAATCATACAGCTCTTACTGCATCTGAGAAAACTTGACAATACACTATTAATAATCTTACACACCTTTTTTTGTGAACCTAATACTTTGCATTGGAACCAAAAAAATATATTATTCTGTAGTCTGACCATAATTCTTTCTGTCACATGCCTGCAGTATATCTTACCCAAGTTATATGATGAGTTTCATTGAAAGCTTTTTTTTCTTTCTACTCATGTAGTCAGCCAGTTTTGAATAGGGACCAGGGTATTGTCAAAGTATGAACAGTTGCTTGCATCATAGACACAGAACTTTGCAAAACCTCTTAAGTCACTGTTGGTTTTGCGATAACCAATCAGGCAGCTCAGTTTGGAATGGTGACCTGGTCAAGGTAGTGTCTGGATGGCATGATGCATATGCACTTCTCAATGATGGACGTCACTGTTCTCTCCTTCTCCTGATCTGTGCTCCTCTACCATCTATCTCTAAATTGTTTTGAAAGCCTTGTCTCCTATCACTATTAAATATCTTGTAATTAAATATCTGTGAGAGGGAATTTATAGCGACAGATACAATTCATCTGAAGTCAAGTGAAACCATTTTGATTACACACAGAAACCATTAGTAATGATGTGATCTTTGAAATTATATATTTGCACATTGTAAGATTTCGTGTTGCTATAGAAAAGGGGTTGAATACTCATGCAATTGAGAATCTTCTGATTTTCTTTAAAAATGGAATTCATTTGCACATTATCAGAATTATACAGTATAAGCTTTATTCTGGAGTGGATTTAGAATTGACACAATCATGTTTTGAAGTGTCTTGATTTCAAGCTCTAAAAGTAACAATGTGGAATCTTGGCAGGGGAATGAATAGTTTTGCAAGGCACAGGGTAAATGTCAGTTTCTTTCTAGACATTGATTGATGAGATTAAAGCCTCTCCACTTCCCTAGCCTAGCATGATCCTCCAACCCCTCTGTGATGTCATCTGGCCTTTTAAGCAGACACATTTTTTTTGACCCAGTTCAGTTCTTCCAACAAAGATCCACTCATCTTGCTATAGTATGTGTCTGACTTACTGCTATTTCTAGTACAAGTCGTAACAAATCATAACTTGTGCTCAGTAAATGTATTTACTACATCAATTTTAATGGTATGGAGGATTCCATACATACAGAGTAAGGTCAAGAAATATTTTAATACCTGTTGGTGAAACTGATATTCTCTAAAAATGTGCGAATCTACTGTAAAACAGAAACTTAAAAGTGGATGTACAGTTACTGTTTAACAAAACAGCAACTAAAATGAAATACAAAGGATTATTCATTTATGAGAACGGTGAGTCTCTTGGGTTAAATCATGGTGCTAAAGAACGCCATCAGCAATAATTCAGCAAACTTTAGTCCACATTTGTAACACAAATACTACAGCACTAACATAGCAGTTTTCATCCCTTGCTGTGTTTACTATGTATAAACAAGTCTGAATGTTTACCTTCACATTGTTTCTGCAAACCTATTATTGCAAGTAGTTATTAAGAGCCCTTTGTTCAGGGATACACATTTCAATAAAACCAAGCATGAATTTATTAACCTTGTACGAAAAAAGAAAACATGACATGCTTTTATATGACATGCTTCAGTGTTAAAACCAGCACAGCAGAAGAGTTTCCAAAGAAACAACATTTTTTGTAGATAATGATGTACATATTTGATATGCCATTCCATTGTTTTCTATCACAGGAAAATAAGATCTGTCGACAGAAATACATTGGAAGTTTGCTTTTTTGATAATACAATAAAGTATAATACATTTCTGCAATTTTTTATCCATAATGTTTACAGAGCAGCAGATTTATGCTATTTGTCGATTTAATTTACCAGGACATCTTAACTCCTACTTTCTAGGATGGAAATGAATATTTACCTGGGTTCAATTCCTGTGTGGAGTTTGTACTGTATGTTCAGTATGTGTTTGCATGGGATTCCTTTGGGTGATCCAGTTTCCTCCCACAGTCCAAAGCCAAAATGTGGTCCCAAGTGAGAGTGTGTGCATGTTTGTGTCTTTGTGTCTACCCTGTGATTGACTGGAGTCCTGTCCAGGGTACAGTATATCCTGCCTTGCACCACGTGGAAAAAAAAGGTTGGAAAGTGAATGGAGGGCTGTGTTGTCTAATAGTATCAGTAGTAAGATTTTATGGATTCATTTCCAACTATAAATGCAACTAAAGTGCATTTCTTAAAAATGTTCTCACTATATGTGGTTTCTACTCCCAAGGTAGAAAACAAGGGGTCCTTGTATTCTTTATTTTCTCTTCCTGTGATTTCCTCAAGTTTAGAATGATGCAAGACATGGATATGACATGTCTTGGACACTTTAACACCGTTCCCTGTTTGATGTTTGAGCAATGGCAAGTGGTCTTATCAAAATGTCTTTATTTCCTGTGTATGCAATTATGGCAATTATGAACAAAGAATGAAAAATGTAAATTAGAAATTCTGCAAATGATGCCCAGTTACTCAGAAAAATAAAATGGCATACAAGATTTACATCAAGGTAGAAATACACCACAATCCACTACTTTACATTCCTGCTTGGGTCTCTCATTGAAGGTGGGGACAGCTTCTAGCTTTTCCAGGACCTCTGTGCCCTCAATCACCTGCCTATTAAAAGGAGAGAGAGTTCTCATGTTTTTGTGCTATACTTTATGTTTTTTACATCATACAGTAATTTGTCTTCTTATCAGTTTCCTCCATGAATTACATAAATAATAGGGTGTCATGGATTGAGTCTTTGTTTAATTACAAAGTGCTAAACATTCTAACACAAAAGTTATCTTACTGTTATAGTTTTGACTGTCAAATGTGCATAAAAGTCTTTTTAAAATAGAATAACTGTCCAAGTCTCATGTTATAAAGCTGCATTTCAATTAATGTTCCCTTTACACACAGCATGTACAGTTCCTGAAGGCTCTGTGCTTACAAACAAACTAAAGGAAAATTGTGATGCTAGTATCTTGTTGTGCTAATTAGGATAAATTGTTAAGCTACGTTTTAAAGTCAAATCTCCTATAACTGCCGGTTTTCCACAGATGCAGACTCAAATGTAGAAATAAAGTATGTCTAAAAGATTAAATCTAGCATTACCCACACAAAATAAGAACAAAGTAGAAGATAAACATACCCAAAAGCAACATATTTTCTGTCCATCCAGGTGGCTGGCTGCAGTGTAATAAAGAACTGAGACCCGTTTGTGTGGGGTCCTTTGTTGGCCATCCCCAGTATCCCTCTTTTACTGTGAGAGACCGCAAAGCTTTCATCTTTAAAAACAGAGAACAGACAGCCATATACTTTGGAGGCAGACCCAACTCTTAGAATACTAAATCCTGCAATTAGCATACAGCAGATACAGTTTTTGCTTGCCTAGAGTGATAGTGGTGCACTGTCAGTCTGTCAGGAGTATGATCAGGATTGCTTCCAATTTATAAAATAAAGACTACGTGTCCTGTTAAAATCATAGAAAGATAATGCAACTAATTACTTTGCAATGTAAAGCGGTATGAACATACATTTCTAAACATTTTTTAAGTCATCCACAGATCTTAAGGACTTTGAAAATTGTTAATGAATGGTCGATAGAAATTGAATAGCATCATCTGCTGGTAAAAGCCCAGTAGTTCAAGGAGCAGTTTAAAAAGATGATGTTCTGTACCTTCAAAGGTTGGCCCATAAATGGACTGTCCACCATTTCCTTTACTACCTGGTGAAATGTCTGTAACACAAGAATTTTAACAAAGCAAAATCTATTACTATTTATAAATCTACAACAGCTGGACTTGATTATCAAAAGAAATATATTATTCATTATTCATTGTGGAACAATATTGAATGATAAAAAGTAAACTTCTGAATTTGCATTATGTGTTAAAGTGAAATATTTTATGTACTTCTTTTAATCAATAATGAATAATAAGGAATAAATATAAATACATAATACAAAGCATCAGTTTCAAAACTCAACATAACTCAAAGATAATTCATTTTTTATTCATTCTTTTTAACTCAAGAGGTTAAAATGTTGCAAGTTAAGTTGAACTTTTTTCAAAGCTAGCCTTTTCCAAAGTTAACTTTTTCCAAAGTTAAACTGTTATATATAGTAAAGCCAGAGTGCAACCTCACCTCCACCTTGAATCCAGCCATTGGAGACCACTCGATGGAATATGGATCCCTTGTAAGTTAACTGAACATTTCTTGGAGATAAACCTGCCCCTCCTGTACAAAGCTCTTTAAAATTCTTGCTAGTCTTTGGACACAGATCTGAAAAAAGCTAAGGATAATGACTGTCATTCACTGTTGCTGGTACATTTTCAAATCAACCACTTTTGCTTCGTACGTTAAATTTACGTACCTCAAATAATAACCTCCCTACAGCGTTTCCTTCGATTGCAATGTCCATGAATACAAATGTGTGCTGCAAATGAAGAACAAGAAAAGACATTGAGCATCTCAAAGTTAAAGAACCTCTTACCTGCACCGTCTTGGGACACCATTAATATCATTTATACTTTATTTCGCTAACAACTTTATCTTAGGCATCTTACATTCAAAACAGACAACCATATAAACATACATATGAACTTTAGATCGGTCACAAATGGGGTCACAGTAACCTTTAGTCTAGCCTGGTGGCTTAGTTTGCAAGGTGAGACCTTATCCTGGACTCCAGTGCATGGTGGGCACAGACAGGGACAAATATAGAGACAACAATTAACCTGACCAGCACGTCCTTGTGAGGTGGGAGGTAACTGAAGCACCTCGGGAAAACCAACACAGACATGGGAGAACATGCAAACTTCACACAGAAGGATCCGCTGCCCCAAATCAAACCCAGGACCCCAGAACTGTGAGGTAGAAGTGCATGCCACCATACCACCCTCACACAGCACAATGAAATCCATTGTGCACAGTTGACACAAAATGCAAACGGATGACAGTTATCATCCTTAGCTTTTTTACATACATTAAATATTCTTATTATTATTTAGCTTTGTTTGTGCATTGGTTTTGTCATTGTTGCTTTTATTTTCCTTCAAAAACACATGTGCAAAATAATCATTCAAGGACTACAGACTAAACACAGGGCTTGGAATCTGTAAGGCTGCTTGAGAAAAAGCCGGGTCCTTGCCTTCGTGTTAATCAGGTGTTTGGAATAGAAGTCTTCTGTCAGAGCGAGGTACAGAGCCCGCGGCCGGACGAAGCTGAAATCCCATTGTTCTTCTGCCCAGCTTTTCAGATCTTTCTCATCTCCGAGAAGCGTGCCGTTCAGGAAGCACATCAGACTGGACGAAAACTGCCACACCTCCCCTTTAAGTTGCTTTTGAAAGAAAAAAAAAACATTTTCGTATGCACACTAACAACTGACGTTAAAACGGAATTTAATGTAATAACCAAATCTATTTTCGACATTGGGGGGACACAACATACGGTATATCGGTATATAATCGTAACATCTCCACCTTCACCCTCTTGAAAGAGAAACAAACTCACCTTTTTCTTATTATTTAAATATTCATACCAGGCACACTCCAGTAATGGACGAAGCACGGGTTCGGAGAACGAAGAGGGAAACTTCTGCTTCAGACCCTGTTCATAACGCAGTCATTAGTTAACCGATTCATTAACTTGAAAATAAGGCATCTTAAAAAACATAAAACTACAACCGCTGTGCATAGCCATTGACATTTTTTCTTATTTGATTAAAATGTCACAATTAGCATTTTATTTCCAGCAGCCTTAAAAAATTCAGTTTACAGAAAATCTCCCCGCGGTGTGTAGTTTTGGGGGCACGGTTGCTCCAACAGCGCCGGTTTAACTGTTCAGCTAAGAATTACCTCTGCTATGCACTTGGCGATCTGAAAACTAGGCTCTTTCATCAGACCCACAATTTCCACCTGCACCTCGGAAGCCATGGCTGGCTTTGCAGCGCACAGCCTGGCGCCGCTGTCAACAAACCCGGCGTCTCCAAGCAACTGCGGAGCCTCTTCAGTTGAGCCCCGGAGTCTGAAGACGCTCCTGAAGTTCAGCCACGGCTTTCAGGTCACTGCTGCAGACACGGAGCTCCGGAGATTTACACTACGAAAACTACGAAGTGGTAACGAAAGATTTTAATGTCCCGGCTTTCCGGTCAACGAAGAAACCACCACTCGATTTCCTTTTAAATTAAAAGCTTTGCTCCATCAGTTTACGTCCTACTGTAGCTACGTTGAACAGTACATTAAACAGCAAAAAGAGAAAAATGAATTCATGTTGTGCGTAAATTGTTTTTCAAAGGATTTACAATTAACAAAATCCAAAATTTAACTGAAAAGGTTTACTTAATACAATATAGACGTGAAATCGATGAAATCGGTGGGTGCTGCTCAATTGGGGTGGTGATGGTGGAGGGGAGTCTGCATTACTTGTAAAGCGCTTTCAGTGGAGTGTCCAGAAAAGTGCTATGTAAGTGTAAGGAATTATTATAGATTAAAATGGAATATTTTGTTTTTTTAAGATGAAGTTAAAAATAAACTCAGTAGACCATATTCGTGATAAAACATTTCATTTTCATCTGTAAGATTAGATTTATTAATGCAGTGTTTAAGAACTGTTTACAGTAGAAAATGTTAACCTCGATATAACTTGGATATGAATTACAAAGTATTGCCATTACAAAACAGTAATGCAAAATGTTAAAATTATATTGTCTGAATATTTCCAATTTAAATACGAAGACACTTTTAATTATTATATAATGAACAGTTTTGATAATTATAGCACTAAAAAAGATGGATAAGTATACCATGCAGGTTTTTTGTCTGCAAAAAGTTTTCAAATACCTTTAATGAACTGTACAATACTTTCCACCAACCAATAAATATACAGTTATTTCCACTATAAAATTCAAGAACATTTGCATTTAAATATATTTTACAAGACAGTGATTTTATGATTTTATTTTTGTACCAATCTTATTTTTCATTCTACGCTCCACTCTTTTTCATGCACATCGTCGAGCTTGTGATTACTGCATTCAAAAACCTTTTTGGGATAACTGAAAACAAATATTGCACACTTTAATTTGGTTTGTACTACATAAGAACAGTTACGAATGAGAGGAGGCTGGTCACCCCATCTCAGTTGTTTGTATGGTAGCAGCTTACTGATCCAAGGATCCAGTCTCATCCATTATCTTGATGGATCCCCACAACATGACTCAGCAGTTTGTTCCAGACCACCACAACCCTTTGTGTACAGTAGTGCTTCCAGATTTCAATGCTACATACAATTCGACTTGGTTTCAACTGGTGCTAATGCAGTCCTTCAGGTTGGCTTTGTGAAAACGTTTTATTGATTTTAAATTTGATTATCAAGTCCTAGACGGTCTCCTCTTTGCTATTAAAAAGAATTTACGTTACTTTAAACCATGTAAGACACGCCTTTAGGCCACAAATTAACATTGCTGCCCATCTTTCAGCTTATTCCTGAGCAGCAGTTTCACACATGCTGCTTTTTATCCAAGATCATTTACATTTAAAGCAAATGCTGAAGAGTAAAAATTAATCTTCCTAACTGGCCAGAAGAAGACAAGCTTTTAGGACAGAAAATGAAAAAGGATATACAGTATTTCTCCTCTGCAGCACAAGCCCTCAACTTTCATCAAAACGCACTCAGCAGTAGCACAGGAGCATCATGGCTCTTGAACACAGCTGGCAACAGGCGTTCAATAGCTCTGAACATGCTGTACAAGCTCTGGGGTTCAGCCACTCTGAAGCAGAGATTTACAGAATAATTAACTGATTGTGCTCCCTTTTCCTCAGCTTCTTTTTTTGCAATCCATTCCTTGCGTTAAAAATCTGGGGTATCCGTGCCATCTGTCAGTTCTTCATTTTGCATAAGAAGTAATCCAACCATGAAATTCCATTGAACATTTTTTATCATTTCATGAAAAAATGTTTAATGAAATCGCAACTGTTAAATTTACCCACTGACAAAAAAGCTAAGTCTTCAAATGTTTCTTTTATATCTTCAACATAGATCTTGAAATGTTCTTCAAATGTAATAGTGGATACTAGAAAAGTGTTTGTAGAATAAAAGATAAGGCAGCTATCAAGCTAACATTTAAAAATAAAAAGCTCGTAAAAGTCGCAAGTTACAAACAATGGGGAATTTACTACCCTTCCATTACTGAAACAAGTCTGTTTTTTTACGGAATCCCTAAGGATTAGATCAGTCCTTTCACCCTTCAGGTTTGTGGGGTTATGCTGGTGGTGTAAAGGTAGGAGACAGTTCCTGCCTGGATTTGGAACGTCTGCCCTTGAATCTGGTGACTGGGGATCTGCTGTGTCGGCTGGCTGATGGAAATGGGCTGCGTTGTCTGGCTGCTGATGTGTATAGCTTGTCCCTGCTGCTCTCGGCTGATCTGGAGCTGCTGAGCCTGAGGCTCTTGGGTAAGGGGGATCTGCTGAGTGGGCTCCCGCAGTAGGTGAAGAGGCTGTGTGGACCGCTGGGTGATGTGCACTTGCTGAGGCGTCCCGTGGTGGGCCTGGAGATGTTCCATGGCCTCCTTGGTGAGAGTGATGACATGCATCTGCTCGGGCTGCCCCGAGGTGACCTGACTCTCCATGACACTGATAGCCTGGATCTGCTCGGGCTGCTCCCCCTGGGTGACCAGCGCCAGGTTCTGCACGTGCGGCGAAGGCTGAGTCAGCAGGGTCAGACCCGACGCCTGCTCTGGTGTCAGATTCTCCGTGTCGTCCGCAGTGATGATGCTTATTCCCTGCTCCTGCCCCGGCACGAAGTTGATGTTGTCCACCTCCCCAGTGACGACCAGCTGAATCTCCTGCTCCCCCGATGTGGGGAGCTGGTACTGTTGCAGCTGCAGAATGCTGCGCACCTCTTCCACCCCCATATCGCTCTCCGAAGAGGTGACTTGTCGGGGAGCGTCTGTGGGCCTCTCCTTGTTGTGCGTCTTGGTGTGAGCTTTCAGGTTGTCTAGACGTGCGAAGGAGAGGCTACAGAATGAGCAGGTGAACGGCTTCTTTCCTGTGTGGGAAGCCACATGGCGTCGCCTGGCACTGGGGTCCGAGAAGGACTTGCTGCAGACACTACACACGTATGGCTTTTCTCCTCTGTACAAGAACACATGGAAGTGGGGACATATTCAGCAGCTGATCGTGTTTAAACAGATTCGTTGAGAAAAAGAAAAATCAAAAGCTTGCCAAAAGTCATTTCATGAAGTTAAAAGGCAAAAGAAGCAGCATTCATAGGTTCAAGTAAATTGTGGGGGCTCTTGAGTGTCCCAATCAGGAAAACAGATTGAGCGTTACAATCTAGTTTTAATGAGTTGGAGTCTGGATCATGTCACCAGCCTGTTGTAAGCAGGAATTCCCAAGCAATGGCGTACAATTGCCTCAGCACTGCCAGGAGCAGGGCTGGGACAGATCTGGGACTGCAACCTCTGAGTTAGCCTTGCAACATACTTAAAGGCTATAGTGATGTCAGTGAAGGATGTGCTTTCCCTCCAATAAGAGCTGAACCTCCTGTACATCGCTGCAGGGCTGACAGGGTGTCACAACATGAATGATTGCATACATAGGCAGTTCAGAGCACAGAGGTCACCGCTGTGAGCTAACATGTTTGTTTTACAGTTCTACATGGGTATATGATAAAACAAAGGCCATTCTAAATGTAAAATTATAAGTCATTTATAGACAATACCTTTTCTAGTTCATTTAAAAAAGCAAATAAGTTAATAAGCCTTTATGCCATGCAGTTTTTCTGAGGCAAGAAAGCAGAAACGGACCAGCTGCACGTTTTAACAGTGTGATGTATGTCTCAGCCTGTGCCCACTGTGCCTCTCACCTGTGAATTCTGATGTGAGTCTGCAGCGTGCTCTTGGCTGTGAAGCACTTCCCACAGATCTCACAGGTGAACGGCTTCTCCCCTGTGACAAGGTTGAAAAACAGTTCAGGATTCGAGCGCAGAATTAACAACTGCAACTGCAATTTACTACACATAAGAAATGATAACCTTTTTCAAGGTCCTTAATTTAGGAGAATTAAAGGCAATGTCACAATTTTCCTTAGTATGATGCAGTGCCCAGACACTTTATTAGAGATTTTTTTTCTTGCGGTTTATGTGGAAACATTGTGATCTAGACCTAAAGATGCCAAAAGTTTGACCTGAGATTTTAACTCCGGCAAAGTCTAGTGTAGCTGTTAGTAAGAAATGTATCACAAATGGAGCACATTAACTATGGGCCTTCAGGGTGGTTTGATAGAAGGTACATAGGAAGCTAGTAAAGAGCGCATGAAGACACATGCACAGGCTGATTAAATTATAAAAACTGAAATCAACATATGTGCCTGTCTCCTACACAATTGATACATCTGTCATAATGAACACCCTAAGGGTAATTTCCTTTTCATCTGAGCATTGTTAAGCCTATAATATTTTATTAATCAAAAGTAAAATAGAACAAATTAGTATGCAAATCATTATTAAACAGTAAGTTTTTAAATCTCTTCTGAATCTTGCTCAATTAATCACTGTTATAAATTGTCACTTCAAAATCACATTTTTGGCTATATTCAATCATGTTTTGAAAGTGTCTACTGAAATTCCTAAAACACTATGTTTTGTCCAACGGGTTTTCTACAGAGAGCTCTTGGCGCATCACATAATTTAAGCTCGTATTTCACAAAGAACATCTCTTAATCACACAGTTACTTGTGATCAAGTTTAAGTTAAACATTTAATATATAGAAGTGAAATAATGAAAAACTCATTTAATGTGTATTTAATCTTGTGCCTTTCAGGAAAGTGTGAATGTAAGACTCATTACCTGTGTGTGTTCTCAGATGCTTCTTAAGCTGAGCAGCGTCCATGAATCTGCGGTTACATTGTGCACACTCGGGTAAAGGTTTTCCTATAGGCATCATAAGAAATTTATCAGTTTAGTAAATGCTTACTTTACATAAAAAGATATTATTTAAAAATGCTAAAAAGAAAGTGCAAAAAAGTACATAGGAACATTACTCTCACAGTTAAAGCATGTATTCACACTGAACAGGGATCAAATTAGTCACTTTTTTATTTCACAAAGATATGAAGTTTTTTAATCCTTTACATTTTTGTCAGTGTTTTAAGATAAGACCTCTATATATCAAACAAATAAGCTACTCTATGCATGAAAGAAACATAACCAGTCTAAAATAATTATGTCCAGACGTAAAGCAAGGCACATTAGTATCAGAAATCAGGGTGGAATCATGCGATGTCCATAGGTCTACCAAACCCCCAGGTTATATACTAAAGGCACCACATTTCTTTAGGTTTCTGGGAGAGGGAGTGAATTTTCAGAAAACTGACAGAGCCATGGAATACACATACACATGTAGCAAAATTCAGCACTCCACTCCATCATTTCACTCTGCTTCACTAATATAGATTTTTCTAAAAGCACAAAAATATTTTACTTCAGAAATGCACTCATCAACACGTGAAAAGTAGGTCAGTTTTAAGCCACAGACTGCACTTATTTTCCAGAAACAAGCTTCAGTACACAAATTTTGATGTTACATGATAGTAGAGCAAACCTCATAAATTACTACAAATATTTAAACTTGCAAGATTAACCACATAATTTCTATAAAACAATTTCCCAGAGTTGGAATAAAAATTTAACTACATATTTATTTATATTTACAGAAAGGTACCTCTTGTGGAGAATTAGGCATTACCTGTGTGTAATCTATAATGACTCTTCAGCTGCCTCTTCTGACTGAAGGTCCGTCCACACTGATCGCAGCTAAACAATTTCTGCTCTGAAACAGCAAAAGCAACATGACATCTTAGGCTCAGCTAAAGTTTTTATTCTTTACAGTTAATATACCTTCAACGAAACAGGAAAGAAGACATTTCACAACTTTATTTGTAAGTTGCACATTTCAACGTGTCAGGTATATATTTGATTAAGGAAGCTGATTTTACAGTAAATTATTTTAATGTTAACGCTTGCTCCTTTTATATACAATTAAAGTACATATAAATGAATCCTAAGTAATACCAGTTTCCTTTTGTAATGGGCAAATGTCTCCAGTCCTGGTACAGGAGGGCTGGTGTGTCTGGAGGTTACCAGAATCAGATCATTACTCTCTCAACTGGAGTTTAACTGTTTCTCCCAGCTCTTCAGGTGCTGCTGCTCTAGAGATTTATAAACCCTGCAGACATGATTGCCCTATAAGACCAGGATTAGGTGCCCCAACTCTCATTAATTTATTAACAAATCGCAGTGACATTCTTCAGAGTTGCCAGTACCACAGTGAGTACAGTATGTTGCAGGAAAAGGCACCTGTGTGCAGGCTCATGTGCTCAAGCAGAGAGTGCTTGGTGGACAGGGCCTTGGAACACACTGTACAGATGTAGGGCCTCTCCCCTGTGTGCATGCGCTGGTGCACCAGCAGACTGTGCTTCTGAGTGAAGCTTTTCCCACACTCGAAGCATCTGTAAGGCTTTTCCCCTGCAGACACAAAGACAACAAGAGGACATGGGAAACTCCATTGCAGTTGCTTTATCCCACACAAACAAATCAGTTAAACAAAATATGAACACAAAGTCTTGAGAAAGCCAATTTTAACTCAGTCCTTCTGTTCCACATTCATACAATTTTGGTCAAGGTAACGATTTTTAACAGACTACCTTATTTGGCATCACAATTTATGGTATCAAAATGAGAGCAACGAATGCAGGCTGAAAATAAAATAAAAACTATCATGTTACAGCTACAAAATCTCTTATTTTGCGCAAATCCTCCTAGCATTAAAGTTAACATGCACATTATTCTCCAGTGAAACAAGGCTGAGCTCATTTTAGCTCAAGGTTTCAGACACTCTGTGTGCCCTGTCCTGTATGACTCTTTGCCTCTTGTACTGAACAGTAAAATACAATTAAAAAAGGTTTCATTAAGACATTACGGGGTGCAAGCTTTGTAGTTGCTGAATGTATTTTTTAGCATCTGACAGGAAACATAACATTTTGCTTATGCTCACCAGTATGAGTTCTTTGGTGGATGGTTAAAAACAAATGGTTTTTGAAGACCTTTCCACATTGCTCACAACGTGCCTCTGTGTTTGGGTATTTCCTCTTCCTCCCTCGTTTCCCGGTCTGTCCCTGGTCAGAGACCTCTTCTCCTAACCGGAAACCATTTAATTTGAGAGGTGGCTTTATCTTACGCTTGCTGTAGCGGCTGTGCTGCAGCTTTTCTTTTTTAGGGTCATAGTCCACGTCCGTATCATTGGATAAATCTACGTGGACGTCTGAATCAGCTGTTTCTTCACCCTCCATGACCTCTGCTGAAACCTGCGGTGCTGCTGTCCTGTCAGTCATTTGAGCTCCGAGTCCTGTGCTTTCTGTTGCCTTGCTTGAGTCAGGAGATGCAACTGCAGAGACGTCTGCAATTACCTCCGTTTTTCTTGGACGGCCTCTTTTTCTTTTGGGCTTCGTGGGCTCCTCAGTATTTTGCCCTGCATGCGAGTCTCCTTTGTTTTCCTCGCTGGCCAGACGGGAGTGCTGACACTCTGTGTGCGCTTTCGCTAGGTCAGTCACTTTCAGGAACTGGGCCATGGCCAGGAGCTGCTCTCTCGTGTTCTCCTCCACTGACACATGGCCAGTGTAGATGAACTCCAGCACTGCTCTGAAAGAGCCTGCTGCCATCCCATCCAGCATGTAGACAGACTGGCCCACTTGGCCCTCAGCAGTGAACATGTGGGAGAAATACTCACTGCTGGCAGCCAGTAAGGCCTTGTGGGCCTTAAACTGCACATCCTCCACAATCAGAGTGATGTCACACAGTAAATCCTTCTTCCTGAGCTCCTCAAACCTGTTTAAGATTGTCTCCTTGTAGGCTTTTGAGGAAAGGACAAAAATAGAGGTTGGTGGGTTTTGCAGAGATTCCGACATCCTTCAATGTAGAAAATGATGGGTCTTAACGTACCTACAAGTCATGAAGATGAGAAAACAGCTCAGAAACAAGTATCTGTGACTATTTCAGCTTATCCGATGCAGTGATGGAAGACTGGCTTTCACAGATCACAGCAGTTATTATTTGAATGGGAATGTATTTTTTATATGACCAGCAGAGAGACATTATTGTGAGATTTTTACACTTCAATTTTAATCACAATGTTGTTAACCACAAAATCATTGGTGACATTATATAAGAAGAGTTCACATCATAAGCCTGCTACAACTTGGATTCTGATCTTAGTATTGTTATCATACAAAAAGACATGATATGCATTGAAGTACTGCACTACTTTGACGCTGTACAGGTAGAGTCCAAATTATGTTTACAATTTACGGAAAATAGACTATGAATAAATAAGAAAGTAAGAGAAGTACAATGGAACAGAATGGAAACAGTGGAGAATTGAAAGCAATAGATTCTCCTTGAAGGTTAGAACAGATTAATGCCAACCATGCATACATGCTAGGTAAGAAAGCACTGTGTCAAATGGTTTAGTGAATCTATTCAGAAAAGACTAAGGAGAAAAAAGCGCTTTCTAAAATGATTTAAAGAGAACAGAATCTAGTAAAAGAATAAAATAGCAAGTAAAAAATATAGCAGAAAGACCAAGACAGAAAAATAAATATTACATTTCAGGACAAAATTAATAAGAAAATGTTATTTCATTTGTGCCCATTTCTTGCAAAATAGGTTCTGGCTCCCCTGTAACCCAGAAGAGGCAGTTAGAAGATGGATGGAAACGGGGACCTGATAAAAGTTTTCAAAATCTTCAAATCCATTGGCAAAGCCAACCTCTCAGAATACTGCAGAATCAACAATGGAAATCCACTTAAAACTATGAAAAGGAGGAACTTCTTTACTCAAACAGTTGGTTCTGGGAGAAGCTATACAACCAGGTTGTTGAAGCCCATACACTGCCTTGTTTCAAGAAACAAAGAGATTAGATTGTTGGATCCTTTAATAGTTAATAGGAACCCTTGTTCTGGATAGCCCCCAAACTAATAGGTTCATGATTAATTAACATTTTTTAAACAATTTAATTTTTCTCAGTGAAATATAGGGATAATCAATCATAACAAAAACATTTCTGCCTGGTATCTGTGATAACCTTGAGCCTTATCTGGAAGAACAGAGCCCAAAGTGACAACACACCATGTAGGACACCAGTCCCTTGCAGGGCAGACACATACAGTACACACAGGCACATAGGGACCATTTAGAGGCACCAATTAATCTAGCTATCTCTGTGAGTCGGAAGGACAAGAGCAAGAAACTTCTCTTGTACTGGAAGACCATACAAACTGCACAGGACCCAAGAGATGTAAGACGGATGCTAGCTGCCTCACCATGTAGGTACAGTATAAGACCAAAATCCTAAGCTCTTAAACCCAAAGTAGTACAAATTGCTTGTCTGATACCTCTAGTTGAGAGAAACACACGATTTAGTAGCGTAATTTGCAGAATTTAGTGGATTAGAATTTTTTTGGCATCAAGTTAAGGTTTGTTTTTTAGACGCAAAATCGATAAAAATATTCTAAAAAACTACCCTTTCCAAGTACGTTATTTCTTTTGTGCATTAAATAATGCGACTTCGCGAATCATTTACAACAAGGGCAGTGAAGGTCTTTTCTAAAGTTCATAAACTGGAAATGTACTACAAAACCATACTGATTGAGTTGCTACATTTATCTGCATTACAATATATTTAGAAACAGTATGAATTGTACAACATAGACCTTAGACTTTAAGTACAGTGCATTTAGAAAACACGTTGCAACTATGGTTGTACTGGACACATGACCAAGCCGCTCGTAAATCCGTAAAACACGAATTTAACAGGAGAATCTGTTGACTGTCGTGCTTCTTTACTAACAAAAGGTTAAATCGTTAGCGGCAACACTCATTTCGGTTTAAACCGAGCGCCATGCCAGTGTCGTTTTCCAGCACACAGTGGTCTCCTTTTTTCGTTGCTTTTTGCGTTGAATACTTCCAGAATACCATCTGAAATTTTGCTTCCTTATTTCTCTTTCCCACTTTCCCTCAAATCTGACAAACTCGGGGTATTCATAACCTTTTTTTCATATGCTTTTGAATAAGGAAATACAAAGCTTCCAGGACCTTACCTTATTAAAATGGCCACAGGCAGAAGAAACATCGCGAGATTTCATGTGATGAGAGGTTGCGGTGTGACGACATTTTTTGAGGCGGGGAGTTTTTTTTATTACCACATTAGTAAAAGGTTTTCGTTCTGGCAGTTGTGTTGCACTGGAACGCACTCTCTGTACTGTATTACAGAAACATTATAAACTTTTTTTAGAAATACAAGTCATAACCAGTCCCAAGTTCTAAAGTTTGACTTTTGAAAGACAACCTTCCACCATCATTTCATTGTAACCATGGCATAAATTTCAATTTTCCCCTACCTTGCAAGTATTGTTTTCGATATTAACAGCCCGACTCTAACGAAAATTAAGAACAATGATTTTATTATAGGACTTTCATTAACCATGTTGTAGGACCTAAATTGAATGTTTCATCTGAAGAATGGCAGTGCCCCAGGTTGGTGTTGGTGTTTACATTCTGTTCAGAGAGAAACGTACAGTACCACCTATTGGAACCTCAACACGACCTAACCTAATTTTGTAAACCCCCTCAAAATAACAAAAATGAATTTTGTCCTTTAATGGATATGCAGTCAACAAAGAAGCTGCAAACGATGAATTGCAGTGTGAATTTTATGCAAAAGAATAATTAGAAGTGTGATCTCTTTTTTTTCTGAAATTTGGGTAACTTATTAGAGATATGCCTCTGCTGTGTGCAATGCAATTATGATTACAGTATACCATTATTAGCTTTTTAAAATGAGACATTTTATTCTATTGATGTTTTTGTTCCTATTTAATCTGGGGGTATGGATAATTCTGTATGTTGGTATTTCTCATGTCTACAAGTCAGATCATACAAAGATGGGTCTACAAGTGAACAGAACCAGGAACTTAACATCACTTTTCAGACTAGTTTCTCCTGACTTCAATGCAGGTGTCCCACTTCTCCTTAAAAGAAAAAAAGTTTACACTACCAAAAGAGAAGTTATCTGTATTTCCAGTACTCCAGGCATCTAGGACTTTCATGCTTAAAGACTTATCATCTCTAACCGTTTGAGGCCAGATCTGGCCACTGATTCTACTGATTGAAGTCAGGTGAATGGCTTTTTGAACAATAAGGAACTTGTGTCCTACATCTCCTTACCTTTTTTGAATCGTGACTGAAAATTGCAAACATTGGCATCTGAGTACAGAATTTAAAGATCTGGGATTTTGCAGATTTTGGTCTAAGGGTCTGTGTAGTAAATATATACCTTACTCTGAACTTGTGATTCTCTGGACCAGTGACAGCTATTAATGAGACAACTCTTCTACTACAGACCTAGCTACTATACACATGACAATACCATGATGATAAAATTGCACTTGAAAGCTATCATCTATCAAAGTTTTCATGATGGGATAATCTGCTATTATTAAGGTATCAAAATGGGAGAAGCTATAAAAATTTGTTAGGAATCATGGTGTTTGGTACTCAGGGCCTTTTTAACAGATTCACACCCACACTTGAATTCAGCTTGTTATAATAGAGCTACAGTACAGGGCTTTTATAGTGGGTCAATAAAGGGTGTATATATATACTGTATATGAAAATGACACATACTGTACTGTATATTCACAAATAATTTTCACTACATTTAGTCATTTCCTGGCCGTAATCATGTTTCAGCTCTGCAGAGTAAATTTGTTGTGCCTAAGTCTGAAGGCTTAAAGATTTGTGAATTAGTTCTTCATTAATGATTTAATGAATAAAACTTTTAATAATGCAAGAAGAAACATAAAGTCTTGGAAATGCAAATTTCAAAAGAATACGATGCAGGAAAAGTTTTATTTAGGCTTTGAAAATAAGAAATATGAATTACAGTCTTATACAGACAAATATTTAGATTTTCCTTTGTGTAAAAGCAACAGGGCATCCAATTTTAAATTGGATGGGAATTAAGTTACAAAATCCAGGTGGAAGTAGGCTCAGTGCCTTTAAGAGCCAGGAATGTGTGAAGTTTGTGATCAAAGTCAATGGGACGCTCCTGAGGTTCTTTGTATCTCTGAGTCATTTGTGATCCCAGGTATGGTATCAGTTCACAGCTCTCCTCAAATTTCTCCAGCTTCTTTTTATATTTCTTGCGAATGTAGTCTGAATTTCTGGGATTGTATGCTGGAAAAAGATAAAATGTTTTGAATTTCTAGATTGTTAACTCCCCAATCCAACAGAATCAATCTCAAATCTCACAAGCATATTTTTCTATATAAAAATATATAATATTTTGTCTCAGGTTTCAGTGAAGTACATTGGACTTTATTATAATTTATATTAGAGTACTTGTATCTAATTGGTAAAATAAAGTATCGTAATTTCATATGTAACTTAAATCTACGAAGTGCAAGACACGTAGAGTAATATAGTCTTCTATCACAACAAAGAAATATTGTCCAGCAGGCACACAGAATAAGCTACACATT